ATTCCTGATTGGTCTGAGTGTGGGCCAATCACAAATCACAAAAGTCTATACAACACATGTAGAGTATTTGACGTAGGATATATTTAATACATTTGAATTACTATCTAAGATCACACACATCGTAGCATTAAAGTGCACCATGTCTGTGATGGTGCCAGGCCTGTGTGTGTGTGTGTGTGTGTGTGTGTGTGTGTGTGTGTGTGTGTGTGTGTGTGTGTGTGTGTGTGTGTGTGTGTGTGTGTGTGTGTGTGTGTGTGTGTGTGTGTGTGTGTGTGTGTGTGTGTGTGTGTGTGTGTCTTGCTGTCAGTGTTTACGAGCAGTGTTTTCTTGAGAGATCACAAAGATATTTGAATATAATAAAGTGGATTATTACCTGAGCTACAGACCAGTAGCATCAGCAGCAGCAGCAGGTGATCCATGTCTCTCTTCTGTCTCTCTCTCTCTCGCTCTCTTTATTCTGAGCATCTCATGTTTTGTCCTCGCATTATATCAGCGTAAAGCGAGAGGTGGAGTCTCTCTGGAAAGATCTCTGATGGTATTGATAAGGTATTGATATCTGATGGTCACTTCCCGCTCTCTTCTCTCTTCAGCTACATGTCAAATCATCACATCAGAGGCTGAACATGATCCTATTTTGAGGGAAATTATCCAACGCTAGTCTTTAGAAGGAGAACAAGTAAACATAAATGTCTAATTTAAAATAACAAACTCTTTCACACAGATACAGAGTAACTAACATTGGGGTTTGCTGCTTAACATTTTTAAGCAAGCAACTAAAGAACTAAAAGCCAGACTGAACAAAGGCAGGTGCAAAAAACAAAGTGTGTGAAAAAGTAGAAGAAGGACTCAGAGATCAGAGTCACAGAGCAGAGGACCAGAGTCCGGGGAGGAACAGGTTCAGGTGGAACCAGCTTGGTTCTGACTATGGAGAGGTTCTGTAATCCTCATTAACCTGTTAAGCCCGAGAGCTCCCGGTACCGGGGCCTGCGGGTCTTTTTTCACGAAACTGTGTCTCAGGGCTTCTTACCTAGTTAGTATTCTTTCTTTTTATTTATGCATATTTTACTAATCACTCCCCTTTTAAACTGTTTTTTTTTACTGTCCTACATGTATAGTACACATTGCAATGATTTCTTACTCATTTTGTGATATTCATACTGAAGAGAATTATTTGCCCTAGACTTCTGAGAGTCAATAACGTATAATACATTATTTTACATATATTATATATTATATATTTATTTATATAGTCTTAAAGTTACAACCGGCCCTTTGAGTGCAAACTTAATGCTGATGTGGCCCGAGATGAAATGGAGTTTGACCCCCCCCTC